TTGATAAATATGGAAGATATTTTAAGCTTGGGTTTTCGTTTCTCAAGTATAAACTTTTAATTTTTTTTAATAAGGTGCCTAGCAGGTCTATAAGAGGTAGGGATAAAGAAGAGTTTGACTTGGAAAAAATCCCATTCAAAATTCGATCTTATGCCATAATGTAAAAAATATGACTTGATATATTTATCAGTCATTCAACCTGATCTCCCCTTCTTGGCAATGAGATGCTCTGTTATGATGGTAGCACAAGTCATTACTGCATGTCAGTAAATACCACAACAATGGAATATCTCATTAGTGTGGAGAATAAAGGTGGGCTACTAATTTTCTAGCACACTGGGTTCCAGAACCATGCCAGATTATCATGCAAGTCTTGTGGATGAGTTAAACGAATATTAATAGTTTTAGATTAGAAAGTGTTGTAGATTATACATTAAGTGGCAGAAAATTTAGAACTTGCTATTCATATTTTGTTTCTGTTATTTCAGATGGAATAACAACTGTACTTTCTGTCATAAGTAAAATGAAAGGCTTTGATTTTATTCATTTGAGAGAAAAAAAAAGAAACTTGAATTCAATCAGTACTTAGAGGGTTGTTTATAATAATATACAATAATGCCAAGATTTAGATGTCTTATCTATGCGCTATCAAAGAAATGATGAAAGTAAATACTAGTCAATAATTAATAATACAATATTAATGTCTGACAATGTTTCATCTAATTAGAAAATGAAAGTAAATACTAGTCAAAAATTACAAATGGCTAACAATGATTATTCTTTTTTTTTTTTAAAAATGAAGATTTTACATAATTGCTATTCAAACATAATAATGATGGTTGATTTTGCTTCGTCTAATGAAAAAGAAATACAGATAATATTGTTGTTTCTCTTGTTTTTCAGGTTAGATTATGGGGGACCATCCAGAGAATTTTTCTTCTTGCTATCACGTCAACTGTTCAACCCTTATTATGCTTTATTTGAATACTCTGCCAATGACACCTATACAGTTCAGATTAGCCCAAGATCAAGATTTGTGGATAACTATCAGGAATGGTAAGTAATATTTACCCTGTCTCCCCACTGAGATGTGTTGTGACACAAGGTCAGGTTTAATGTGGGGGAACCTGAACATATATGCCCAGGCCAGCATCAAAAATTGCCCAGCCCCAACAACCGTTGGTTGCACTGGCATCAGTATGACTCCAAATGCCCCTCTCTAATGCAATGAGGAGAGTACAGCCTTAGGAAGCTGTTCTCCAGTGCCAGGCACCTCTTAGTATTTAGGTTTTCTCATTTGCAGACAAACACTACTAAGCTGTACTCTGTTCGAAGACAGACACAACTATCAGGAATGGTAAGTGGCAGAAGAGAATTTGCTATCAATATAATGGTGTGACTTTTTCTTTTTTTTTTTTTTTTTTTTTTTTTTTTTAGCTGACCATGACCCATGACTTGTTAAGTTAAAAGCAAACATACATGAAATTAACAAAGATGATTCTCTCCTTATTGGTTCAGTCCTTGACTTTGTCCATCCTATCTGACACCATCATGTTTGTGTCAATCTTTTATTCTGTCTTTTGTTCAAAGATTGCTTACTTGCTAAAACAACCAACATGTTAGTGTCATGCTAAATACTTTCGATTGTCATGATTGGCTTTACTGTGTGAATCAATAGGAAAAAAAATGGAAGGAAAGACTTTTAAAATGCAGAAAATGGGAGGCAATCTTTAAATGAAGAAAACATTTCTCTACATATTTTGTATTTCAAAACAGCCATAACTTCCAATTACCCTGAGAGAGAGAGAGAGAGAGATCAGTGCAATTATGCTAGTCTTGGCTGTGATCGGAAAACTCTTCCTTTTAGAAATTGTCAAAACCTATTCACAAAATGTTAATGATTGGTATAGATTAAGCTCTTTAATAAAAATAAAGGTGTTCAAAATGAGGATGATGAATGTGAACTACTTTATTTTTATTACTTAAAGATCTTTCTAATAGATATCTGAATTTGATATCATTAATTTGGAGTGCAGGTTGGAATTAGTTTATGATTTGAGGAGATCACTTGGCTTGAGTCATGAAAGATTTGGAATTATTCATGATGATTGGTTGCCATGAAAACAAATCTTTTGAGGTGAAGGCTATCAAGAATGAACATTTTATAAAAAATATTTCAAATTTATGTATTTTTTTTAGTTATGGTCTATATGGAAATGAAATTACTTATTTAATATATTTTAGAAATATTTTTCTATGAAAATTTTTTTTTTATTATCCAAAAATATCTGATAATAAATTGCAAAACAAAAAATAATCTACTTATAACAATCAGGTTGTTATATCTTATGACATAAAGTGTAAAATTGTTCAGTTGTTTTGTGTTGTGTCCCTTCATGGTTCTCCACAATTTCCTGTCCTTTGTAGCTCTTAATAAATTGCCTTTTTGTTATCTTTCTTAAATTTTATTCTACCATCCATTGGCTCTAGCTTGATAGGTACATTATGCATTGTTTTTCTCTGTCCCTCTTGCCTTTTTGTTCCTAATTTCTTTGTGCAGTCCTATATTCTGTGCCATACTTTGGTATTTTTTTTTTTTTGTCTCTTTTTTATCATGTCCAGAATTTCTTGTCATCCAAAATTTGTCTTAATAAATTGCCTTTTTGTTATCTTTCTTAAATTTTATTCTACCATCCATTGACTTTAGCTTGATAGGTACATTATGCATTGTTTTTCTCTGTCCCTCTTGCCTTTTGTTCCTAATTTCTTTGTGCAGTCCTATATTCTGTGCCATACTTTGGTATTTTTTTTTTTTTCTCTCTTTTTATCATGTCCAGAATTTCTTGTCATCCAAAATTTGTCTTAATAAATTGCCTTTTTTATCTTTCTTAAATTTTATTCTACCATCCATTGGCTCTAGCTTGATAGGTACATTATGCATTGTTTTTCTCTGTCCCTCTTGCCTTTTTGTTCCTAATTTCTTTGTGCAGTCCTATATTCTGTGCCATACTTTGGTATTTTTTTTTTCTCTTTTTTATCATGTCCAGAATTTCTTGTCATCCAAAATTTGTCTTAATAAATTGCCTTTTTGTTATCTTTCTTAAATTTTATTCTACCATCCATTGGCTCTAGCTTCATAGGTACATTATGCATTGTTTTTCTCCGTCCCTCTTGCCTTTTGTTCCTAATTTCTTTGTGCAGTCCTATATTCTGTGCCATACTTTGGTATTTTTTTTTGTCTTTTTATCATGTCCAGAATTTCTTGTCATCCAAAATTTGTCTTAATAAATTGCCTTTTTTGTTATCTTTTCTTAAATTTTATTCTACCATCCATTGGCTCTAGCTTGATAGGTACATTATGCATTGTTTTTCTCTGTCCCTCTTGCCTTTTGTTCCTAATTTCTTTGTGCAGTCCTATATTCTGTGCCATAGTTTGGTATTTTTTTTTGTCTCTTTTTATCATGTCCAGAATTTCTTGTCATCCAAAATTTGTCTTAATAAATTGCCTTTTTGTTATCTTTCTTAAATTTTATTCTACCATCCATTGGCTCTAGCTTCATAGGTACATTATGCATTGTTTTTCTCTGTCCCTCTTGCCTTTTGTTCCTAATTTCTTTGTGCAGTCCTATATTCTGTGCCATACTTTGGTATTTTTTTTTTTTTGTCTCTTTTTATCATGTCCAGAATTTCTTGTCATCCAAAATTTGTCTTAATAAATTGCCTTTTTGTTATCTTTCTTAAATTTTATTCTACCATCCATTGGCTCTAGCTTCATAGGTACATTATGCATTGTTTTTCTCTGTCCCTCTTGCCTTTTTGTTCCTAATTTCTTTGTGCAGTCCTATATTCTGTGCCATACTTTGGTATTTTTTTTTTTTCTCTTTTATCATGTCCAGAATTTCTTGTCATCCAAAATTTGTCTTAATAAATTGCCTTTTTGTTATCTTTCTTAAATTTTATTCTACCATCCATTGGCTCTAGCTTCATAGGTACATTATGCATTGTTTTTCTCTGTCCCTCTTGCCTTTTGTTCCTAATTTCTTTGTGCAGTCCTATATTCTGTGCCATACTTTGGTATTTTTTTTTTGTCTCTTTTTATCATGTCCAGAATTTCTTGTCATCCAAAATTTGTCTTAATAAATTGCCTTTTTTTATCTTTCTTAAATTTTATTCTACCATCCATTGGCTCTAGCTTGATAGGTACATTATGCATTGTTTTTCTCTGTCCCTCTTGCCTTTTGTTCCTAATTTCTTTGTGCAGTCCTATATTCTGTGCCATACTTTGGTATTTTTTTTTTCTCTTTTATCATGTCCAGAATTTCTTGTCATCCAAAATTTGTCTTAATAAATTGCCTTTTTTATCTTTTCTTAAATTTTATTCTACCATCCATTGGCTCTAGCTTGATAGGTACATTATGCATTGTTTTTCTCTGTCCCTCTTGCCTTTTGTTCCTAATTTCTTTGTGCAGTCCTATATTCTGTGCCATACTTTGGTATTTTTTTTTTTTGTCTCTTTTTATCATGTCCAGAATTTCTTGTCATCCAAAATTTGTCTTAAAAAAAAAAAACTTTAAAAGTTGCATCAATTCTAAAATGGTCTTTGTTTTTCAGGTTCCGATTTGCAGGGCGTGTTTTAGGATTGGCTCTTGTTCACCAATACCTACTAGACGCATTCTTCACTAGGCCATTCTATAAAGCTTTGTTGAGAGAGTAAGTTAATTTCCTTTTAATTAGTTTTATCTATTTACTTAAAAAATACTTTTAAAGTTTTTTTTTTTTTTTTCTTCTAATTAAAATTAATTTTTTTAAAGATTGTTTACAAGATTATATATTTCTCTATATTGTTCAACAGTAATTATGAACTTGGTTTTCATAGCAAAACAAAAAAGCTTTCTCATTGCTTTTTGATATTTTGAAAGAAAGAAAATCTTATTTTTAATTTTCTGTCATACAAGCAAAAAGGTTAAGCAATATGTACAGTATATATAAAAGTCAATTGACGTTGAAATGCCCGTTCTTGTACGATCACTGAAGTTAAGCAATATTGAGCCTGGTTAGTACCTAGATGGGTGACTGCTTGAGAATACCATGTGCTGTAGGTTTGGTATGCTTGTTATGTAATGATAATGGCTCGGAATAGTTAATTGGATAGCAGAGTTCAAATTCCAGTTGGGTTTGCTACATTCACTTATACACAAATACACTTGGGAAAGGTAACTCTTCCTCCAGCTATGGATTAATTAGTAAGACTTGTATCACCAAATCGTTCTCTCTCAAACAGGTTTTGAAATGTAAAAATGTTTTTTGGCTTTAAATAACCTGCAAGGGGGTTGATAAGGTGTAGAAAATGAATGAATCAATCAGTTTAGCTCAAATGTTTTCATTAGTTCTGTTACAGAACAACATTTCAACTTAAAATTTTACTTCTTTACTATTCTTCATAATGATTGTTTTAACAAATCTCTGTAATATAAATTTTCTGCAAGTTTTGGTGCTGTATATAATTAATATTCTTAGTGAGAATTTTAAACAAAACTTCTTTTTCTGCTTAATTTTTTTAGAGTGGTAAGATATTATGTTATTTCATTTTTCCCCATTTATACTATCGTTATTTTTTTATGATTATCAGGTCGTGGTCTATAGCAGATGTTGAGGCTTTAGATACAGAGTTTCATCAAAGTTTGCTGTGGATCCAAGATACAGATATCACTAAACATGATTTGGTGATGACTTTTTCAGTGAACGAAGAAGTATTTGGTCAGGTAAAAGCCACTGAAATCAGAATTTGATTTTATAATTGCATAAATTTTGACTTCTTACATACAAGGTGAGATGGGTAAATTGTCGCAATTTTATACTTTTAATTTTCTATAAGCGCATTGTTCGAATGTGATTTTGTCGACTGCACAGTATAATGAGAAAGAGGAGTACCATAACGCAATTCACTCTGCCAGAGATTTTGGAAACAGCATGCTGTACTGCTTGGCATTAATGTCAGAAGCTCCAATACAAACATTTCAGAGTGTTTGGGTGTCAATCTGAGGACAGTGCAGAGGATTCTGAAAGAGTTGGATAAGTAATGGTGATTAAAATATAAATTTTCATTTAAAAATAGAATACCTGCTAAAACAAATCTTAACTGAGAAAAGTGAAGCACTGATTCCCATATGATCACCAAAGTTAAACAACATTAAACTTGGTCAGTATATAGAGGGATGACCACTTGAGAATACCAATACTTGGATCTGTGAGTGGTGTTATGGATAATGGCTCGGAATTGTTAATCAGAGAGCCAAGATCCAATTTCAGTTGGGTTCATTATATTCACTTGCAAATATGCTTGGGAAAGATATGAATCTAACTCTTCTCTCCATAGCTATGGGTTAATTAGTATCACTAAACCATTATCTTGAAAAATAAAATAAATTCTGTACAAAATATTTAGGTGATGGTGAGATTAGAATATAGTTAAATAACTCATAGAAATTGATATGCAGCAAAGCAAAAACAACCCACAATTAACCAAGAAAATCCATTATGCATGAATGCTGTAAAATTATCAGCCAAACCAAAAATCCTTTAAAAAAAATATCATTTGTTCATATTTTGGGAAGTTGATGTCAGGAACTTTTTAGCAGCCCATCCTGTGATGTTCATGCGAATATAAATAGAACCCGCTTGGTTGAGGTGGGAACTCTTCAGTATACAGCAAACCTGGTGATGAAGATGTAACAATTTAACAAGCTTCAAATTAATGAAACACTACCTCCTCAACAGCAAGGGAAAAATATTCGAATTCAACAACAACACGGGTAAAACTTCGAATTAACAGCAAAGAGAAAAAAGTAGTCAAATTCAACAACAACACAAGTAAAACCTCAAATTAACGAAACATTACCCCCTCAACAGCAAAGAAAAAAAAAGTACTCGAATTCAACAACAACAACAATGCGAGTAACAAACTTCGAAAATAACAAATTATTTCAAAAGAAATGGCTCTCTCGATGCCAACAATAGAGCCCCTAGACTGGGAAGACTCCAACCAGGAGCAGGCATAGAGAGAATGGAGTGAACATATCGAAGATGCATTTACAGTGTTTGATATAACAGATGATAAGCTACAACTATCACTCTTTCGATTTTACAGGGAAAAGAAACTGAAAGATATCCTGAAAACCTTAACACCGGAGATACCACCAGGCCAAGTAGAGCCTACATACGAAACAACAAAAATAGCACTGGACGAATATTTCATCCAGAAAACAAATAGTCTTTGAAAGACATAAATTCAGGATGCTTAGTCAAGAAAACAGGGAGTCAACACATGACTATGTCACCCGTCTATGCATACAAGGAGCAAAATGCAACTTTGGCGAATACAACCTGGACAAGTTTGTAGTGGACCAATTAATTAAAAAAAAAAAATGCTCGTCAAGCAAATTATGCCGTGCGTATTTGAAAGAAACTGATTTAACAGTAGAGGAAGCACTTCAAAAAGCATTCATATTTGAATCGACTGAAACACAAGCTAAACAAGTAGAAGAGAATGAAAGAGAGCACTCGGATATCCACAAAATTACAAACAACAATGACGAGATAACAGTGGGTATAGGAAACTATCCAGGGACAACAACCCATTAAAAACAATTACAAAATGCTACGGGTGTAATGGCTCTGACCACACACGGTTGAACAAAATGCCCAGCATTTGGGGAAAAAATGTAAATACTGTGGAGTAATAAATCACTTCGAAAAAACGTGCTTTAAAAAAAGGTGAAACAGTGGTAAAGGGAAAATGAAGATGCCAGACGGCCACAATTATGTCCAACCAGTATCGACGAATCCAAATAATTCAGACAGCCAGGCATTCGTTTTTCAGGTGAAACCTATTCATTCAGCAGATAGCAAAATTGTCCATATTGACAACGTACCAGTCGGAATATTAAGATTCTGGAGCAGACATCAACCTTATCGACGGCAAAACGTTTAAAGAAATCCTTAAAGTACGGCCAAACTTAACATTAAAAGAAACAAATTGTAAACCAAATGCCTATGGGAATATTCCAATACCACTAAGAGGAGAATTTTCGTAACGCTAATGAATGGTCCCAGAAGAAAAGCCCACAAAGTATTCGTTACAAAGGCATATCAAGGTGGTAATATATTAAGTAAGTGGGCCAGCATCAAACTCTGGTTTATCACCACCCCACAGGTGAAATCAATTACAACAAAAAGTATCCCGAAATCAACAAAAGAAATTCTAGATCAACACCTATCCTTGTTGGAAGGATTAGGAAGAATGAAAAATTTCCAACTCAAAATTAGACTAGATGACAACGTTATACCTGTTGCACAACCGCCAAGACAGACACCATTTCATATCCAACAAGCAATAGAGGGAAAAATCAATGAAATGCTAGAAAATATCATCGAAAGATTAGAAGGACCCACTCCATGTGTCTTGCTGTTAGTAGCAGTACCGAAACCAAATGGAGAAATTAGAATATGTGCCGACTTATGCGTGGCAAATAAAGCAGTGAAACGCACTCGCTATCAAATACCAACAGTTGAACAGTTACTGAGTGAAATTGGCAATGCAAACGTTTTCTCAAAAATTGACCTAAACTCTTACTACCATCAAATAGAACTGGATCCTGAATCTAGGGACATCACTATTTTTTCATGCAACTCCGGAATCTACCGATATAAGGTACTGGTTATGGGCATTACATCCGCAGCCGAAGAAGGCAACAATTGCTTCAACAAATCCTTCAGAAAATCCCTAACTGCTGCAATGGGGCAGACGACATTCTAATCTGGGGCAAAGACACAAGAGAACATAACAGAACCCTAGATATGGTATTAGGCACATTGAAAGAAAACAACCTCACAATTGCAGAACATAAAAGCATATTCCATAGTGAAGAAATCGAATTCCATAGTTTTATAGTGTCTAATACAGAGATCAGACCGACTGACTTGAAAATAAAAGCAATCAGAAATTTCAAAAACCCTGAAAACATCCAGGATATACGTAGTTTCTTAGGTCTAATCAATTACCTCGCAAAGTTTATTCCATGACTGGCAACACTCAGCGAACCATTAAAAAAGTTAACGCGAGCAAACATGGAATGGCGGTGGACGGAGGAAGAAGAATCTTGTTTTCTCATGTTGAAGAATGCAGTCATTCAGAGCAAATCGCACATGCACTTTGATCCAAAACTGCAAAGATCTGTTATAGTAGATACCAGTCCCGTGGGACTAGGAACAATACTTTGCCAAAACAAGGGATACTCATCCCCATCAGCTACGCATCCAGGACTCTAACCGAAGGCGAACGCCGGTACTGTCAATTAGAAAAAGAAGCCCTAGCAATTGTATGGGCTTGCAAAAAATTCCACTTTTACCTTTATGGAAAGAACTTTCTTATAATGACCAACCATCAATCATTAACAACTATCTTCAATCCTAAAGGTAACCCCTCCGCACGAATTTTGCGATGGATTTTGCATCTACAACAATATGATTATACAATAAAAAACACATTAACGGTAAAGATAACCCGGCAGACATACTCTCTCGGCAACCTGTGGAGTATCAAAAAGTAGTCTCACCCGAAGAAGAGATTGCCGAAGGATTTATCAACATGGTTGTAGCTAACAGCATTCCAAAATGAATCACCTTATCGGAAATAATGGAGGAATCTCAGCGGGATCCAACTGTCACAGCAGTGAAAAAGGCAATACAACAAAACGACTGGACCAATAAGTTAATGGAACCCTTTAAACACGTGAGGAATGAACTGACAACAAAACGAGGCATTGTCATACGCGGAGCAAGAATCATCATACCCCAAATCCTACAGAAACGAATCCTGAAATTGGCGCATGAGACACATATGGGGATAATGAAAACAAAAGCCCTGCTCAGAACTAAGGTATGGTGGCCCAATATAGACAAAGACATAGAGGCTGCCGATGCATCCCGTGCACAACATTAGACCCAAAGGGAAACCACCGTCCAGTGTATATGGCCAAAATGAAAGGCCCCTGGGAAATACTCCACGTAGACATCTGTGGGCCTTTCCCTAGCAGGGATT